CAATTTAAATTAAAGGGACACTCTGTCAGTCGGAGGGTAGCGTCTACTTGAAAGGCTTTTGCACGAATAAGTCATCATTGGTGCAGCTTTTCCACCAATAATTCTCTAACCTTCGTTCCTCGGTCTGCGGGAAAAAGGAAAAACAAACACAAGTACGTTAAAAAAGTCTCGACACACGATCAAGTCTAGGATAACTCATAGGATGACTGCAAGTATATTAAAATCTTTTAGGAAAAAGGACTAATTTCTAACTAGTCACATACAATCACTCTTAGCAGTCTGAAATAATATTGGTTTGTTATATAATTTGGGCTGGCCAATTTAGGACAGTTACCTTCCATCATTGGCCTTGCTCTTTCAATCGGTGAAGGAGGACTCTATGCTTAAACCCTTTCAACGAATTTGATATAAATCTTACCACCGAGCAGTATCAAAGTATCACAGCGCTTTACGACAATGTCGTTGCACCAGAAACGAAGCCGTCACAAGGACCAATCACAACACAGCTAAATATCAATTTTTTATTAATCAGATGCAAAACTTAAACCAATTACGACTTGGCCTCCCGCGTTTCCGCGCGCCTTGGGCAGTTTGGTTGTTTTTCCTTTGAGTTCTCATTGGTTCTTAGAGGTTTTTCCTGTCTTCTTAATGGCTTTTATGATAACTTTTGTTTGGTTTTAAACAACAATCAAATAAAGAGTGCTCTATCAATAAAAATACCACATACCTTGGCTGCTTGTGTGTCTGCGGTGTCTGTCTTTTGAAGAGACATGGAATTACCAATCGAGCGATCAAAGGGCTGCAGGTTATCCGTGTACGAGGATCCGCTGGAAAACAAGGAAAATCATTCGACATAAAAATAAAAAAATTCGCGACGACGATTTGTCATCGTTAATGAAATATGTTATTACTGAAAAGGCTAGGTCAGCTTAGGAGAGGGTTAATCTAAGAGACAGGATCACGAAATTACTCTGAAAGTAATTTTACACTCAAGGAATCTGATCTCCCAGGAATGAAGTTTCAAGAAATAGCTCGGAATTGTAAAAAAAGAGAAAAAACCGATGAGAATATGATGAACTCCTTAGCTTCCTTCCGGAGGGTTTCATTTCCTTCACAAAAAATGGGAAAAACTGAGAAACTAACCCTTTCCTGCTCTCGTCAAAAGTAGTTTTCCGTGATTGAGCAAACATGTCAAATTCTTCATCCTCCTGGTCAGCAGAAGTGGTTCCTATATCTACATACAAACAGGACAAAGTAAGATGAAAGGACCTACTTTACGGCTCGTCCATTGAAACAAGTTAGCAGCTTTTAATTGCGCATCGAAAGTGATCCGGGATTTCTTTGGTTTTGCTCTACCTCGTTCTCGCGCCACCATCTCAGCCAATCATGGCAAGACTAAAACCAACCCCATCCTGGTCACTTGCGTTTTCCCGCGCTTCAAGCAGGGTGCTTGTTTTTTCTTTGAGTTCCCATTGGTTAATCATGATTTTAAGCTTTGCTCTGATTGGCCGTTGTGATTACCTTAGGTTTAGTTTTTTTGCCACTCGATTGAAAACTGCTATATTTGTAGTCCGCGCTTATCTTCTCTATTCTTAACAAACAACCATCATTCCTTTGTAGCTTCTTTACGGTCCCTTGATCTTTTCCCACCCATTTATGGTTTCCCTTTATTGAAAGGTAATGTTTCTATTAAAAAAAAACCTCGCTGATTAACTTGGAACAGACTTGGTCACATGTCATCAAATATGGCAGTAACGCCTTAAAACAATAATTAAATGAGCTCCTAAAACGCAGCAAAGCCAGAGTCAAGACTTACTCATGGCTTGCACCTGAGAGGTCATGCCATTGACCGAAGCAGCCTGGGAAGGAGTGGATACGTCATCATCAAAACTAATCAGCGAGTCACCCCTGAGAGACAAGAAATAAAGAAAAATAATAAAGTAAATATCAGCATGTACTTCAGAGCCCAGGGTTTTACCAAAGAACAAAAAAAAGTGATCCGATCTGAGCTTCCAATTCTACATTACATGTCTCTCGGAGAAAATGTATATATGACGCTTACCCAGCTGGTGCCGGCGCTGCTAAGGCTGGCGCCGGTGCTGCTGAAGCTGGCACCGCTGCTGGAGGTTGCGGTTGAGATGGTTCAATTGTACCTGGCAACTATATATGAAAATGAAAAATTTTACCTTGAGTCAACAATCAAAACTGCAATGTTTCTCTAAGAGAGATACGTCCTCAAAGGCTCATTTGAAAGAACGTGAAATTTTACGTGAAGGAAGGGGAGTGAAAGATAGTCAAACTTTCAATGTTTGTTGGACTGAGAGGAATCTTCACCACACCCCTACCATTCATTGTGTTCATCAGATCCCTGATGCTCAGTCATTTCACTAGCACTGCCTGGATGATAATCCAGAGAGGTTTTATAGGTTTTACAGAAGATCTGCAAAGAAATCAGTCCTTACTCTGTGTGAATTTTCTGGCCAGGCTGTTGTTGTTCTACCAGTCTGAACTGGTAAAGGTTCCACTGGAGCAGGTCTTGGGGGTGTAGGGGGAGCTTCTGACGGCTGACTCTGCTGATGTACTGCTTGTCGAAACCTCTCATACCGGTCGTATCGAATAAACACATTGTTGAGATCATCATTAACACTCAAAAGCATACCTAATGCAGAAAGATGCATGTCATTGAAAATTTTTGCCATAGACAGACTCTTTGATTACATTCTTTCAAATGCTGCTGTTACACTTTTCAAGCAATATTTAGCTTTGAAAGTCTTCCAGGCACAATGCAAAAACATTCCTCAAATCTTTTCTGTTGCATAAATTTTTTTGCATGGCTGCTTAGGTGGAAGGTAGATGAGAGCAAAATTCTCCCTTAAAATTTGATCAAATGCAATGACACTGCTGTTAATAACAGCTGGGAGGTGAGGACTGAAATGACAAGGCTGTGAAGGTTATCTTCCTGAGCAGCAAAAAAATTAAGATCTGGTTTGGCTCTAAGCACTTACCTTTGAACCAAGAAGTTAGGCCTATATAAATGTTTGTTTTATCCCTGAATTGCATTAATTTAACCCTTTACCCCCTAATATCAGTATGCATTCTCTATCTAGTATCAGTTCTCTATACATTTCCTAAGGTTCTGACAAGGAGAATTTGTTTAAGAATCAAGAACTTCTTTAGTTGGTTATTATTTTCATTGTTTCCTTGACCTGAATGTGTGACTCAGGGGTGACATTGTAAGAAGTTAGATATTAGTTACTCTTAGGGGTCAGAGGGATAAAACTCAGACATTCTTACCAACTACTTCTTCATTTGCTACTCTCTCAATCAGCTCCAGAACTCGCTGCTGCATGGCACGACAAGTTCTGTTCAATTCCTGTCAAAACAACAGATACCAAAACATGAAACTGAATGGCTTCCAGGAAGATTTGCGTTCTTTTACCTTTCTTTTTCCAACAAATTAATCTGCATCAAGCTTGAGGAAATTCTGTCTATTATACAAGAGATTGCTGATCAATGTTTTTGATCAAAAGGCATTATGTGCAAGAATTGTAAATCTAATACATCTAAGTTATTTTTAAATAAACATTTTACAAATTTACTTGTAAGAGCTGCAAATCTCCTGCTTCTTCCTGTCCAGGTGTCATTTCTGTTAACATTTCTGACATAACATTTATATTTCCATTCACAATGTCAATTTCTGAGCTTATTTTTCCAAGCTGCTCAGGTGTGGGAACCACAGGACCACTAGGTGCTTGCATTGGACGCATAGATTGGACTAGCTGTGGCACAGGAGGCTGAAAGGCAGAGTAACTAAATGATGTAAAGTTTATGAAAAAATGTGGTGCACCATATTGACTTGAAATGAAAAGCATAACTCCCTTTATCATGAATATCATATCAATTAGAGATTTGCACTAAGGGTGGAAGACAAGGGGGGGGTTGAACAGTCCTGTCCTGTATGTTAAGTTTAAGAGAGGCACTTAGCCCAGTTTCATTAACACAAATAGACTTGGAGTATCCCTGTTCCTCCTGAATGAGATGCTTAACTGTCCATAATGGATACATGTGACCCCTGTGCAGGTTATCAAGTTCTGCTAGAGAGTTTGCTTCTGCCTAGTTGTAATCCTGAGTGAAGAGAGGCATTATGAGACTAAAGTGTTGTGTCTAACAACAAGCTCTTGCATTAGGATTTCCCTAGCAGCCCCATTTCTGGACACAGCTGCTTATTTCACCATCAGCAGCTGCTTAGGGAAAAAGTTATTAATACTCCTACCAAATGACCTAGCAAAAACTTGAATTATCATCTTGATACAGATTTTGCATCCTAAACACTGGGCCAAAGTGTCTCTAAACTACATTGATCCTCCCTTAAAAATGCAAAGAAAAGTGAAACAAAAAAAATTACCTGACTGGGAGGCAGCCTTGATGGCGCTGGGGCTGGTCGTTCTGGTTGAGTCTGAAATGGTGTAAATATTGTTTCATTCTGTATTATATAAATGAGGGAGTACCTGGAAAATCTTGTGCCCTATAAATGAACTAGAATCTAGAAATTGGAAGATTGGTATTGCATGTGCTCATAATCCATCTTTTGAGTCTGGGTTTCCATTGGGTTTTGTTGGTCTTAACCCTTTAACTCCCATAAGTGATGGTGACAGAATTTCTACTTACAATATCGATACAATGTCAAGCAGACAAGTGATGAGAATATAGAAAATATCAGTTAGGGAATTATAAGTTGATCCAATACTAAATTCTCTAAACTAATATCACAAGAACTGTATGGCAGACAGTAAGGAGAATCACTAATGAGATCTTGGGATTTCAAGGGTTAACAAATATCACAGCAGAGGTTTTTTCAGTAGAAAAAAATTATGGCTTGCCTATTGCATTCTTATTTTAAAAGCAGCTTAACCCTACAGTTCAGAATTTAAACATTGTACACAATTTGTAACTTGCCACCAGATTTACTAACACTGGGATAGCAGGCAATGAAATTGCCTATGCCCTTTACCATAAACACTTTCATCCAATTCAAGGAACTGCACTTTCACTAAAACTTTCCCAGTAATACATAAATTCCATGAACTCATGATAATAATGTTGTGTCTTACCCTTTGTGGTGTGTAGATAGGAGACAAGGTGTCTAGATTTTTGGCTGGAAACTCCAAACCTACAGTTGCAAAGAAAAGTACTGACAACAAAATCTGACTACACAGGTAAATGTTTCTGATTTCTGGGGGGTGAACTTAATTCTTCAGCCTTAACTTCAACTAGCTATACTACACAGAGTAGGGCATCAAAGAACCTACGGCACAGTTAACTTTCAAAGAACATACTAGGAGCAGTAGACCCCATTGCTGAATTCTGGCCTATTAAACATTTACTCTTAAGCAAGAAGATGGGGGACAGTCATCATTTGTAGATCTAGGTTGCTTAAATGTCACTACAGTAATTCCCTTGGAATTCATTTCTCATTTTTCCTGCTCACAAATTTAAAAACAAACTCGAGCATTGCACCCATAAAAAATGGCAGCTTTTATTAAGGCCAGAAGCTTGCTAGCAATTTTCTTTGGTGTTGTTTAATTTAAACGGTAAAATTGAACAATGTTATCAAACCTTGAGCTCTGAGAGATTCATAAGTCTCGATCACATTAGTCAGTTCAGGAGATCCTCGGAAGGCATCCGCCCAGTCTTGGATAAGAGAGAGTATCTTTTCCCGGACAATCTGAGGTGGATTAGTCTAAATATTTATGAAGGAAAGAGATGTTAATAATCCTTTACACCTTTACATCAATGTACAAATTCTCCCTAATGCTCTCTGTACATTTCCTGAGGTGCTGGCAAGGAGAAATTGCTCAACAAACAGAGCTTCTTAGGTTGGAGATCATTTCCTTTATTCTCATGAACTTAATTAATAACACAGCAGTATTTACGGTGAGGAGAAATTAGATGCTGGTCACTCTTAGGTTTTAAAAGGCTAAGGGACTGGGAATTTAGACTACTTTGAATTTAATTGATACAGGTATACTTCAAACTGATTGATCCAACCCAAGGACTTACCTTAGGACTTAAAATTTTTACAAGTTCATCAAGGAAATCCTTTTTTGCAATAAACAGATGGAATCTATGACCACAATTTTTAACACAAGTCTCAAGTACCTGGAAAAGATTTATAACAAAGAGAAACTTAGGGTCTTGGCAGGAAGGAATGAAATTGAATAGATAAGTATTAGAGCTTGAGTACTTTTAATTATCAAACATGTTAAATAAATTAGTTACATAAAATACAGAAACCAAAATGAATACCAAAGTCATATTAACACTTTCTCTGATAATCAATTCATGTGACTGAGGTGGCATCTGGATTATCATTTAAGAAACAAGTACTTACACTAACCCTTTCACTCTCGAGAACTTATTAATAATTCTCCTTACTATCTGCTATACAATTCTTTTGATGTCAGTTTGGAGAATTTGATATTGAATCAACTTGTTGATATTTTTCTTTATACTCATGACTTGTCTGGTTGATATTGTATTGATATTGTATTGAGATTGTAAGGAGAAATTATTTCTCTGTAACTCATTTCTCAGAATTGGGTTAAAGCGCCTACTTTGAATGTAGAAGGAAATCACAATAAACCAAACAGCCAAGACACTCTTTTTTTAAGTGTTCATGAAATTCCTTTAACATAAACATATCTCAATGAGAAAAAACATTTGATTCATAAATGCTAGTTTTACAGAGGTAACTGCATACGTATCTTCCAAAATTTCAGTCACTTAGAGATCACTCACCGTCAAAGTCAGGAGAACACTTTTAGAGTTTTTATTTCCAGCCAGTCTCTTCCGGATGGCTTTAGCAGCATCTTTAGGGCTAGTTGAATGAAAAACATTCACAAATTAAGATCTAAAATTGAAATAATCATCACAGAAATACAGAATACTAAGCTTGTATGCACAAATGCGATTCAAAGGGATGACGGTCACAAGAATTTTAAAGTTAGAAAATTATAAATTTAAGACTCTGAGGATACAACTTAACAGCTGAGAACAGAAGCATTTCTTGATAAGACTAAACGTACCCGTCCTCGGTCTCATTGATTATGTCACAAATTTCAATATTCGCAGCCCAGTCTTCGGATGGCAAGTTCCCATCGGTAGCTTTTTCTGAAAATTTATACGTCACATGAAGTTACAGGCTCGATCACTAAAGGTATGATCGAAGAATTTGATCCAGCTTAAGTGTCAATTAATGCACTAGGTGGACAATAAAGTTATCTCTGTCAAAGGAAAGGAGTGTAAGATTTCAAAAATTTCCAAAATTAATAACTTCTAGCTTGAGAAATACCTATTCTTTGTCCTACTGGTGTTGAGAAAGGGTTCGGTCCAAACAGGGCAGCCATCTTGGAATCCCTTTGAAACAATGACGTCATTTACTTTAAATATCTGGCCTCGATATGGTTTCTCCTACCCAGGAACTCTCGTTAATACTTGGAACGTGTCCCAGGTTTTACACCAATTAACATGGCGGACGAGATGAGGTAATATATTTTGCCGTTGTCTGATAATTTTCTCTTTCGCAGGTGCTTTTAGATTCTCTGAGGGCTAGATCTCTTACAAATGCAAGCGAAGTTCCACGTTAGGCAGCTAGCAAAGTTAGAGTAAATCTTAAGATCGTTCATTTGCGATATTTAAACTGATCGTCCAACGAGGTAATTATATGTCATTTTGTAGTTTGTAACTGCCAACGTTACAAATTTAATTTCTGTATCGATTTTGGTGAACATCTGTTGGTAAAACAACATGTCTCTTTCTTTATTCCCTGTAAAGTTTTCTACAAATTCCTCTTGCTTTCTCCTTGATAATTGCAAAAATTCATGAAACTGTACATGTACGTTTTTCGTGTGTACTTTGACCTGTAATCAACAGAATTAAATATTAAGCTCGTTCGACAGTAGAACGATATCTAGTATTATCAAAATAGCAGATATTTAACAGTAGTATCTAATATCTAAACATTCAAAGTTTTAAAAATATGTGATAAACTTCTTACCCAACAGATGTAACTGTATGTTTTGGATTATCTTTTAATGATAGCTTCAAACGGTGTTTTCCACCACCTACAATGCTTGTGGTCATTATGAGAGAAGGCACGTGTAAACAAAGAAACTTTTTGCTCAAAGGAGATATTGATAAAAATGTAAACAATATAACAAACAGAAAATAGCCTAGATAAACAACAAATCTGTTTGAGTGGCATGCATAATTTAAGAGCATTTTAGATTTCCCAACTTGTTAATCTTGAATGTTACAGGAAAGCAAGTTAGTTAAGAAAATGCCTCTCCAAAACTTCATTTCTGAAATAATTGACAGATATTTTTTTTAATATTAAATGAGACACCAGAGGTAAAAAATTGTTCTTCTCTTCTCACATGTAGTGATGATATGGTGGAAGGAGGGTGTGTCATCATTCATGAAATCTATGATTCTGAGGATGCACGTGAACAGTTTGAGGCAGATTTGGAGAGAGCTTTGGAATCACAGTGTGGCATGATTGTTATTGAACCAACAATGATTGGCGAAGAAACAGCACGGTGGATCCAAGTTGGGAACTGTTTACACAAAACAGCTGTTATTAGTGGACTTAGTTGTTTCATTAGTCCATGGGTGCTTCCCAGAATTGTCAAAGAGCCTTCCTGTTATGTATTTGGTGGAGTGAGCATTTTTTGTGCAGCATTGTATGGTGTATCATGGCAGTTTGATCCTTGCTGCCAGTATCAAGTTGAATATGACACTAGAAAGTTGGCAAAGCTACCACTTAGTAGTCTAACATCTTCATCTCCAATCGTGCTGGTAAGAAAGGATGACAAATACCGTAAAAGACTTCACAATGTGGTGGCAGGTTGTGCCTTGGTTTATTGCAGCTGGAAGATTTATAACTGGTATTGTGGTTAATGTGCTGGGGCATTTTGATAGTAACAATATTATTATGGCTTAAAGTGTTTTCACAAAGTTCATGATGAGGTATATGAGATGTTCAGGGTTGCACTCAGTTTTCAAGAGGTCAAATATTTACCATGTGATCTTGTGGGGCAGTGGGCGATTGACATTTATTTATTGTCATGGTGTTTAAATCATATATAAATTGTGACATTGCCATGCCAACTAAAACACAGCATTCAAAGAGTGGAGATCACACAGCATACATATCACAATGCTTTTTTTCAAGAAGGTCTCTAAGTAGAGGAAAATGTCTACATGGGAGTCATGCCACTAAATAAGACAGAAATTTTTGGGTGTATTACAGAGTGACTTCAATTTATTTGTGTTAAGCATTGTTTTGGAAATGTGAGATTGGAATAACATTGTTACTTCTCAGTCCTTTCAACTCCCAAGAGTGACCAAGACAGAATTTCTCCTTACAATATCACTAAAATATCAAACAGACATGTTATGAAAAAATGAAAAATAGCAATTGGGGAATTACAAGTTGATCCAAAACCACATTCTCAGAACTAATATGATTTATAAGACCTGCATGGAAGACAGTAAGGAGAATTTCCAATGAGATCTTGGGGGTGAAGGGTTGACTGTATCTTGATGCATCAAGCCTACACATTCTCTGTGCTTGGGTTGTTGAAAACATATTGGGTGCCTGGTAAATTTAAAAAAAGCGTTATGCATGTACTTGGTATGTATCACAACACTAAGTTGAACTCCCAAGCTTTGCTTTCAACATGCAGACTTTTAAATTTTGAATTTTAATCAGAAAGTATTTCAAAAACACTCAAATCAAATGAAAAATCCAATGAAAACAACAAGAAAGGTTCAAAGATTCATGAAAATTGTGTGCAATAAAAGGTGGGGGGGGGGGATTTTTCAGTAACGGATATCATCGTGCGCAAGTGCCATTAAAATCATTCAGACCTTCAGTGATAGAGGTTGTACATTGGGCTAAAGGATATGTGAAGCTCAATGAGCAATTTATTAAAAAAAAAAAAAAAAGAAAGAAAAGATGTAATGAGATGGGTTACTCTCAAGAATATCTATCTTTTAGTCCCCCTTGAAATCTGTTTGCATTGTGGCTTATCTATTTTTATCAGTGTAAATAAAGTTGAATTTCCATTTTAAGTGCTATTCATTTCATATCTACAACAGTGAGATAACTACCCTTCTAGAATTTAGTTCAGTTTCTCTAAAAGCTTGCAGCTACCTGTTCATCCTCCAGGGTGAGGCAGACACTGTGGGCCTGTTATTTACACAAGGTCCAACCCAAAGCACGGTTTTATGCAATCAATGGCCTCAGGCTTTTTCTCTAAGAGGGTTGGTTTAATAAAATAAATGTCCTTCCACCATTATCTATGGCCCTTTCAATGCTATTCACAAAAATTAATGTTCAGATAAAAAGGTTAAGCTAAATCAAGGGGTGTACAGGACACAATTTTGTCAAACAATGGCTAAACTTTGTTGGAATAGTCAGACTGGTAAGAGTAGAGTCTTGTCAAGAGACAGAAAACTGGCCTCAACACAGTCACCCTCCTATGTCTTCAATCCATTATTGATCATCAAGAATTACGTGTTCTAACAATTTAGCCTGAGTCTTGTCTCCCTCCATACATTAGTCACCCATGCATGTCTCTTCCCAAAATTGCTTCTATCAATTTGTGCTTTTTTGATAGTTTGGAAGACGAAGGAGAGAATTCTCTGCCCGATGTTCAATAGCCTGAGCTAGTTTATATTCAGACATGGCTCTTGCTACTTTACACTGCACCTCTGGGGTAGGTATTCCATACATGGCCTGCCAGAAGTAGCATGCCATGTGATCCTTTTAGTGGAGTAAAACTCAGTTCAGAGAGTGTTCTAAACACGTAATGAAGGATCTGGTTACCTTTTTGCTGTAGTAATTGTTTAAAATGAACCTAGATCAAAATGATTGTAAACTTTTTATTCATTTTACTCCATATACAATTAATAATCATAATCCTGAGACAGTGAAAAATACAGTTTAAACTTGTTTGAATTGACTTCAATCTGAATTCCATTCTATAACAAAAAAGTATAGTTATTACATACTTCCTTCTGTTGTCATGAGCTAAATATTTCAAATTTTCTAATATCAAAATAATAGGAAACTCCAATGAACAAAGCAATGTCCACTGTTATCATGAAAAAAAATATAAATGAACATAATATCTTTATCATACCATAATTACTGAATATATCTTGCAGTCTATTTTTACAATTCATTTAGAGCAAAGCTCTTAAATTGGGGAGTAAATTATTTCCAAACTCTTGGAAAATTGAAAGAATTGATCCCTCTTTTAGTTTGATGCTGCCTGGTATCTTTTGAAACACCTTCAAGAAGTTCAAAGACAGCCTCCATTGGCATTTTTCTTATTTCTGTCACATGTAACAAGTGACCTTTAGAAACAAAGCTGACTGTATACACTAGATCCAAGCCTTCATCAGAATCTCTAATCAGAGGCTGTGAAACAATTTGAGGAACCAACCGAAAACAAGGATTGGCTCTTTTATCACCTGCCCTGGTCTTAAACAAGCTTTTGTAGTCATCAGGACCTGAAAAAGAACATTTAGAACCCACAATTAATGTTATCAGACTAGTGTTCTTGGCAAATCAGTCATGCATAGGGCTCACACCTGCCAATTGTAAACATCAACCTCGTGTATATAGGTCAATTATTGTCTCAGAGTCATCAATCAGTTTTATTAGTTCATACCCCTTTTTTAAGTAAATAACAAAATTACACAAATCTCGTTTGACTGTTTCATCATTAAGTAACATTCTTAGCATGTAGAGCAGGCATGACTTTGATGAACAAAGTTCAGTATTCTGGGTGAATATCTTAGCTGCCACCTTTGATTTTAATAAATGGTCCAAAGGAAGGAGAGGGGAGGGGTAGGGCATGGAAGAGAGGTTAAAAGTCTCAAGAAGTAAAATAACTCAAAGGCCATAACCAGTTTGCCAACCACCATCTTGGCATGTAAATTGGCTGTAAAGGTGATTGATCTAAAAAGTGACAGGGATAAAAATCACATTTGTAATGAAAATAACTCTTATTTTTAAATCATTATCTAGTTAAAAGTTTGTTGTCTTGTCAAAAAAACAAGGTTCTATTGATATGTAGGGGGTGTAGATGTGTTAGAAATGTGGCCAAAGGGCAAACTATATGAACCACAAGCTCCTTACTCCAGCAGCATCATCTCTATTTAGCTGTGAAATTCTTCCTTCAACAATTATCTTTAACAAGTGAAACAATGAAAGTATTAAAAAAATGTTTAACCTCCAGAAATTCCTTTAGATGTGATTTTAATGAAAAGGAAGTAGTCTTCCACCCCATGCCCCCCCCCCTCCCTAACCTCTGACCCAGCTCTTACCCAAATATAGAGGATCTTCCTCTGTTATGCCAGCCAACAGCTGTCTTCCATCAACAGTCTTCACCAAGAGAACAGCCACATAAGCATCTGCAATGTCACCAAAATGTTTGGCACACTTGGATCCTCTTGGTAAGGATGTCACTGATCGCTTATGATAGGATGGCTTTTCAACTGCTTCCAACTTTGAATCTTCTTTTCTTTGATATTCTGCATGTAATTGCTGAGTGACAGTGGATTTCCCTGGCAAAATTTTTACCTCAATGTCTTGGTTTTCCATTCTGGACTGCTTTCCAGGGAAGTCCTTGAGAATTTCTTGCCTGGATTGAAGGGATGAGGAATCTTTTGATGCTGATGCAAGGAGTGCCCTCTCCTTTTTATTGTCAAATACAGCCTCCTCTTTCCTATGATTGGTCAAATCACTCAGTTGCTCTTCCAGATCATTGCGCACATGTGGATCTGCCTTGACTTCAATATTCTCCTCTCCACTGACACCTTTATGCCTTGTGTCCTTTGTAAATGGAATTGCATGCTCCTGGAAACCCCCCTGATGTAAAACAGAAGGCTTCTCTTTCCTTGCTCCAAGCCATTTTCTGTCAGCTCTTTCCTCTTCTTTTATTGACCTGAGAGGCTTTTTTGCAGCAAAACTGGGATTATCAATTTTCTTTAAAATGTCCTCTAAAAGATAAAGTTCAAATTCCTTTAGGGCCATGTCATCACTGTTAACTTTGCTGAAGTCCTCCTGGTTATGAAAACTAGAATCATCACCAAAGTCATTACCTATCTCTTCTGGAGATATAGGAGCTGCTTTTGTAAATAACCGATCAAATTTGTTTTTCTCAATTAAATCTGAACTAACTGAAAACAACTTTCTTGGTTGTGGTCTTGCATATTTATCATTCATCATTTGACTGACATCACCAGAATTCCAATCATTCACTTGATGTGAAATGTCTCTGGATTTTCTGGATTTAGAAATCAATGTCACAGCCTCAGGCTTTGGCATCCAGATCACAAAAGCCTGTTGGGTACCACTAAGTCCTGGTACAGGGACTGGTGCCACAGCAAGACCAGTCCTGCTATGAAAAGACCAACTTATTTCCCCTGTGCGACCATCAATGACTAGCAGTGAGGAGGAACTGTTTGTGTGAGCAACAAACAATCCAATATCTGTCACATTTTCTTTAACAGAGTGCGGAGTTGAAAACAACCTGGCATGAAAAAGAAAAAGAAACTTGTATTTCGCATTTCTGGTATGATAATCAAACAATAAGCATGCTGTACTTAAGTTTGAAATGTTCAGGTTCAAACCCTGGAAAGGTTCACTGAGTTGAAATCTTGGAAAGGATACTTTATTCTTGCAGTCCTGCAGACAATGGCTTTAAATAATTACAATCTAACTGCACTATAACCCTGTCAAACTCCTAAAGGGGGGGAGGGGGGGGTAACCTAAAGAAGACCACAATAATGAACCAGCTCACTTGCAACACTTCATTGGTGGCAAAATTTAAAACAAGGATTTGCGATGACCATATATACTGCAGCTGTGATCAGCTTGCAAGCACAAGGAGAGGTAATTTTGAAGCAGACTTTGAGTTTCTAGAAACAAATTTCAAAAAGGGTAATTCTGTTACTTTTAAGCCAATACAAAAAAACAAAACACAATGGTCACTTTCTAATCATATGGAAACAGGATTGTTTTTAACCATATTAATTAAACAATATGTCAGGCTATAATAATTCTATGCAATAGTTGAGTAACAAAATTGAAACACTTACTCATGAATAACTGCATCAGAAGGTACTACCATTCTCCACACAACAGCCAAATCAGTGCCATTCATGGCCAGAAGAGAAGTACCATTCTCCCTGATTACAAAAACAACATCTTTCACCCCATTACCATCCAAATCTGTCAACAACGGCTGGATTAGGAAAACAGCATCTTTAAGAATGCTGATGAAACCAGTGTGTGGGTCTGGTACATGTTTTCCCCACGCCTCTCCTGGAATTGATTTTGTTGGCTGGGTTACTTTCTCAAACAAATCATGAACTGACATCGCCCAAAGTGATGTTGTATTTGTCTTGTGTGCTAATGTACCAACAATAACAAACTGTTGTTTACTCGGGAGAGTGTGAGCAGCAAGGATATTACTGATATTGTGACCTCCAGGCAATGGTACAGGGTTGCCAAGAAGTTTCCCTAGTTTTCCAGATACCAAATTGATATAACCTTTACTGTTACCCATGGGAAGGTCACTGACGAAAACAATGTCTTTTTCACCATCACCATCAACATCACTGACAAATTTAATTGAACCAACTTTACCACTAAATGATGATTTCCACTTGGTGGTTCCATTCTCTGGGTTGAAAAAAACAAGATTTACTTTTTCTTCAACGAACAAACAATGTTGGTTGTTTTTTTCATCAATGCCCTCTGTGGCCTTTTCACAAGCCAAAAGTCCAAGGGAGGAATTGCGACTGAAAACCCACAGACTATTACCACACGATCCATGCAGGGCCAAAAGACCACTGCCGTGACAATCTTTGTAATTACAAAGTTGGCTCAAGAATGAAGAATTTGTTGACTCCATCGCTTTTATGTCAAATTCAACTATAACGTCTGGCCTACCATCTCCTGTCACATCAACCAAGGAAGTCACAACAGGAATAATACCACCAAATTGGTGGGTCCAGTTCACTGCTGTCAGTTGCCCCTTGCCAGGACAGATTGGGAGCTTCTGACATTTTGGTTTATGACAAGGAAGAAGAAAAGCAAAGGCGAATATAGTAAACACACATAGCAACAATGCGCCTACCAAGACGATCCGACGTTTCAAGGACAGTGGTTGTTTTTCCGCAGATTCCGACGGCTCTTCGCTATCGTCAAAGAGAGATTTTGCGTTACCAGTCCATAAGTTTCCCTGTGTATTTGCATCTCCTTCGAGTTCCTCCGCTGATGAGTCCATCTCCACCAGAGGTCTGGAATCGGTCGATCTTGTGGCCATTTGGTTGAAATTGTTTCGAACGAAGTTGTCAAAATTAGCCTCTCGAGAGGCGATCGACTACCGGTAAAATTGGAGATATTTAAAATTCACTCAGATCTTTTCTCCAAGTAAGCAAAATTTCCTTTTTCGTAAAGTTGAAAAGGCTGATCACGAGCAAATCAAAGTTTCATCAGCTGTAATACAATACCCACTGTTTATCACAAACTTTGAGTCAGCATAAATTTTCCAACCACACTGAATGGACGCTACACTGTGAACTATTAACTATCACTATTACATTAAACAAACTCCTTCAAACAGCTGTTCTGTTCCCCCAACACTGAGTTAATTGCCTAGCCAAATAACGCACACAGTAATTGTGCGCGTTACATAAGGACTCAATTTTCAATATGCCCTTTGAAGGGGAAACTCTCTTCGCCGCTAAGTCCCCTTGTGTTTCGATCCTTGCATCAAAGAAAACCGCATCCATTTGACGTCAGTTGATGAAAATTGCCTTTTAGAACCACCGCTTTCTCAGTGTGTGCGGCATTGTGTATTGTTATCTCCTTTATCTCTGTTTTGTGGGACTTTACACGATCAGCTGTTTTGCCATCTGTTACTAATCGCCATGTTCACTTTCTGCCAAAACAATACTAACTAGGGGGGAGTGAGTGGGCAGTCCAAGGTAAAAAAGAGGGGTTGGGATGGGTTACCGACTAGCATATAGGGTTTGGGGCAAATCTTCCGTTAATCTTCCAGTTCATGTAAACAATTGACTGCAGCAATAGTCCAAATCATCAGGGGAGTCATTTGAAAGAAATCATCCGAAACAGCTCATGTTGGCCGACAGCCTTCTTTTTTCGGACCCTTCCGTCTAATTTCAGACATTTCTGTCCGATTTTAGACACTTCTGTCCGATTCCATACACTTTCATCCAGTTTCGGACGCTATCTCACGCTATCGTTTACTCTCGTCCGACTTTAGACACTACCGTCCGTCCATTTTCGAACACTTCCATCCAATTTTGGCACGCTATTGCCTGATTTTGGACACTTCGGTTGGCTTTGACTTGAGGTAGAAGAGCAAAGAACACATCATCACAATGGAATATGCGGTAAATATAAATAATCACCTTAGAGTAACCTTTAAACGTAAAAATGTGTGATGTGTGATTAGCTTACTCGGCACTCTGAAAAGGTGGAAACATGAAAATTTGGAAATTTTAAACACCATCGTCCGGATTGCGACACTTCCTTCCGATTCTAGACACTTCCGTCCGTCCACGGCTTTTTCAATCCAACATCGGACGCTATCGTCTAATTTCGGACAATTCCGTCTGCTTTTAGGCGCTTTCCTCTGACTTGCAGTGACCGGGAAACAAATATTTCTCTCTACAGCTTGGTTTGCCAGTGGTTCTCTTCGGCAGGATAGATTTGTCAGTCAAAAATATAAAGAAATTAAAAACTCAAAATACATCAGCAACATAAGTTTCATAGCTTTTAATCGTTTATTACTTAATCAAGACTTAATTCATTTTTTTTTGTCGTTTTACAATCTTCTATAGTCACTATAGTAGCGTTTATTTATGTATGTAGACTTTGTAGAGAACACATGGATCAAAATCAAAAGAAGATTCCTTAACCTAATCTCTATCATAGTCAGATAAGTGTTTACTCTAGTTATTAGATTCCAGCACAGCCGTTGTTCAGATAGTCACGTAATCAGCGTCACGTGATGATTGTCACGTAAAAAGTGCTGCATGCGTTTACAGTTGCTAAGCGTGACTATTCAAATAAGGGCTGTAGAGGACACTATTTCAACAGGAGAACGACATAAACTTCAGTGAAATGATAACATCATTAATTTGAACCACTTTTCTGGTGAAGGCACAATCCGGCCGTTAATATTGTTAATATTATTTTACAAGCGTTTGGAGATTAGTCGATAATAAGACCATAAGACATTCTTACGATATCAACAAGTCTTTCTAGATCGACCTGTGATGAATGTCCGTGAGAGTTTGAATAGAAGTTTTCTGGCAGCAATCTCAAAAACTATAAAAACTAAGTTCATTGAAGATTTCTCAAGCTCGGAGGAGCCTGGTACCGAGTCAACACGAAAGAAGACACAAAACGAGTCAGAAATCGAGAGGCAAGGATGACGGGAAAAAAAGAGTAACCGCGTGATGCCAAGAGCGCAAAAAATTTGAGTCACGCGAGAAATATTATATTGATGGAAAGAAAGAAAAAAATCTCGCATTCTAATTAACTCAAACAACTTATATAAAGATAGTTTCTGATATGATTCGACAGTCTCTGGAAAACGACTCTGAAAAGAAGTTTAGATTGTTCGTCTTTCATGAAGTACAAACTTAGAGTTGTGTTGTATCTCCGAAGTAAACGCGATGGACTTCTTCGATCTTTTTGACCCAATCCATGGCGTATCCCGTGTGATCCTCCAAGTAATAAATACGTTTAGGCTGTAAATAAATTGTTTACGTTCGTTAGTCTGGAAAGAGATTCCAGTTCAGAAACTGGCTACTTTAATGCAAAAGCAGAATACGGCTTACCGTATGAACGAAGAAAACGTTGAAGTTCTTAGCTTCTGGTCTGAGATCTTTTGTCCTACAGATGATACAAGCATTTGTTTTAATTAAAATCAATCGGTTCCAGTGGTGGCTTTTCACCTGTCTCGATATGAGATTCCTTGAATGGAGAGGACCCTTCTGTAAACCATTCTTGGGCCGATGGTATCCTCAATAGATATCACTGCTATTACTACTGTTAACCCTTACTGGATATGTTACCTCACCGACCCCACCCACTGGGCCCAACCTTGAAATACCGGTCACTTTACAGAAAAGTATCACTGGATTTAACTAAGTTCATGTCCTCGTTTAAAGATTGCGTCGGGTCTAAAACGGCGAAATGCCTTCCACATATACACAAGTGACACCATTACTTAAGTTGTAAGTCTTTTGATCGACGCCAGACGAACACTACACGTACTACAGGTTCTGGAGACTCATCTATTTCAATACATCTAACTGAACTAATTTTCCAAAAACTCTGAATATTTACCATGGAATCTCTCCCTTCAGAACCATTGCCTGTGCATCAACGTAATATAGCCGCGGACCCTCTGTAAGAATCAGTGTTCTTTTGCGAGGAAAGAGACCCTAATAAAAGAACAAAAGTAATGATAATGATAAAAGGGGTGAAGATGTTTAAACCGGAAAGAGATGAAAATATTCACGTTATCTTAGGTCCACAATACTGCCTTTAACTCGCGGCTCAAAAAGGTGATACAAATTTAAAGTCTCCATTTAGTATCCATATATTGCACAGCGAAAAAAGGCAACGAGAGGTGGCAAAATAATCAGCTGTTGGGCGCTAACATTAGAACTAACAAGCAACGATTATGTTCAAATTACACATCATAGAAGACAGAGGCGCCTAAGGGCAGGTAGCCTGCATTCGCTCACATTGATCTCTTTGCGTCTGTTTGGCGAGTATTCTAGACCATTACAGAGCAAAGTAAAGCAAAAAGACTAATGCCATCCAAGATGAACTTTGCACTAAACTGAAACCTTTTCGAAACAAATAACCAATATATTGCCGTGCAAAGAAGCCGCAAAGTTTATTTCGGTCAAATAACTGAAATAAAATAAATAAATAAAAGCACTAACCCGCTAGCTTACCTTTCTTTTGTCCACCACACCGGTCTTGATAATGAGATTATTTCCGACAAATTGGTGCCTACAAGAGATAAACCACAGTAAAAAATAAATCATGTCTGACACACTACCTACGAGTACTGGGCATCAAAATGGTACAGCAGTCGATCGCAAAATCGGAAGGTAAGAGGTCAAAATGATTGTGGGCGACTCAAAATAAATAATACCTTCGTCATTACACTCTCTGAAATTACGCACCCAGGGATGGGATTGATTGTTCAACGACTTATGTTGTTCCAAATCAGGATGTTTTACGCACCCTGGGTTTGTTCAACTACTCAAGATGTTCCAAATCAGGATTTTGTACGCACTCGGGGTTTGTTCAACAACTCAAGTTGTTCCAAATCAGAATGTTAACACTTGAGCACCCGCAGCATGTTTAATCTTTCCACTCTCAGGAGTGACCAAAAACGAATTCCTTCTAACAGTATCAACGAAGTGAACGTGAACGAAAGTGATCCTCGCAGTAATGTGCACTATTTAGGCAGTAGTGAAAATAAGGCCCGAAAAAAATTCAGGCCTATACGGGATTTGAACCCATGACCTCTGCGATACCGGTGCAGTATCAACGAAGTTTTAAGTAACGAGGTGATGAGAAAAAAGAAAAATATCACTTGTTTGATGTAACAACCAATCCTCCGAACCAAGATCATTACAAGTGTAAGGAAGTCAGTCAAGAGTCAAGGCAGTATTCTCCTTTGGAGTAAGACCACACTAAACATCATTACCAGGGTGGGGGGAGGGGAAGAGATTCGCTAGATGACCCAAGGACAACTAACTGTCATAACAGAACTCTCACCAAGGTGATTCTTTCTCCTGCTTCGCTAATCTTTCCTCTCTCTCGCTCTCCGTAAGATTGAGAATGTTCGTAGGGCCACTTGACCGTGGAGTTTCATCGGACAGGCCAAATCTTGCCAACAGCTGGTCATCAAACTCGTCACTGTCGCTATCGTGAATGCTCAACTAGTATGTGAAAGAAAGAAAAACACATGAGAATCCTTTCGGACACCAGTGACCCTCACAATCAAACAGGAAGAGTTAAAAGAAAGTGCTTCATTAAGACTTCCCTCGAACAACAGAGAAAATGAAAAAAAAAAAAAAAGAAGTTCCAGACGCATGGATGTCCACCAAGTTAAACAGGACAACAGGCAGCCGCACATTTAACCAGTTATCGAAGGTATATTTTTAACCCTGAGCGCTGCCTCCCTCTAACCTTGAACTTGCTCCGAAGGCCTTCTTCGTTCGTGCTTGTTGACGGCAGATATGGTAGTAAATCAGGGGGTGTCTCATTTGGCAAATTCTCCCAATCGATTCCTAAACGAGGATTGAACAACAGATTCTCAGAGCTAAAATTATGAGAAATGTCTGACAGACAGTTAAGAGAATTTATGTTTGCATCTTAGAGGTGAGAGCTTAATAAGTGGCAGTTTCTTATTATGCAATCTTAGGAATTATAAGGGATCTACTAAATAAGTACCGACGCTCTTTCTTACCTTCATAAAATTCGTGACTTTTCAACGAAGGAAATCCTCCTTGCTCATCACAGCCAAGCCTCAATTTTGGATCTAATATCTACAGTCAATTCAGGACCTTAATAAGTTGTTTTGCAGTAAATAATTTAAGAATACTGTCGTCATTAACATCATAAAAAAGAATTGTCATTGATCTGGTCAAAAACCAAAAAATGGCCGCTTCTGTAAACTTGCACACTCAAGTATCGTCTAATAAATGGTGTCCTAAACTGTGTCTAAAATTGGACACTTATGTCTAAACTTGAATTCTGGTGTCTAAAATCAAACACTGCAGTCCAGAGTTGGACACTAGTTTTCAAAAACAGACAATAGTGTCTAAAATCAGACATTACTGTCTAAAGTCGGACACTAGTGGCCAAAATTGGGTGGTACAATCTAAAATCAGACCTTATTGTCGAAATGATGCCCTGCAGGAGAGGAACCTGATCACTTTTCCAGTGTGGTATCAATTAACTATTAGGTACCCATCAAAGTAATAATAAAAATTATTCTCACCAATAAACTCTGGACAAGACTTTTTGGAACTTCAGGAAAACCACTTGGAAATTCATAGTCAAGGGCAATAATCTTTTTGAAAATCTGATACTCATTTCTACAGAAGGGAAAGAAATAAGCGTCAGTATGGGTACTACAGATGTTAAAGAACAGAGGCAGGAGGTACCTTCCACATTCCTCCTCCAGAAAGAGGTGCATAACTAAGAATTGTCAGAGAGGGAATCACAGAACTTCTGCACACCTTCTGTAAAATGGCACTTTTTGAAAAGCCTGAATCACAAGGTTTATATGGTGTTGACTTAAAAAAAATTATCCAACAACAAAGGGTGGGTGGGGTCATGGGACTAAGGTCGTGGGTCATGGGTTTTCCTCAACTATTCCCTTGAAAACACATCTATTTGTAATAGCAATACTGAATACAGAAAAAAACTTAAGTCAGCTTTCATGTCAGAGAGCTCACAACTATCATAAGATCTTTGAAAGGATCAACCATTTAATACAATTTCATACTATTTGCCAGACATTTTAGAGTTGGTTGGTATATAATCATGTAAAGCTAAATAATAGAGTTACCCAGCTCTGAATGGCGGCAGTCCAGATAGAAGTTGATAAATAATACAACCTAAAGCCCAGAGGTCAGAGCTGAAAGAACAAACAATGAATTTTTCTCAGTGCTCTAAAATAATTGTAGACATCATTTATTAATTGAAGTTTCATGCTAAAACTCACATGTGTAACTAATTGGACAGCCAAAATAAGTCCTTTATGTAGTGAAGAGTTATGAAAACATTTTACAGATGCTGTATGACACCATGACACTTAAATATTTTTTGACATTTCGCTGAAAACTTACTGTTAATCCATTTGGCTGTTTGTTTGTTTATTGTTTGTTTGATGTACAGAACAGAAAAGAGGAATGTGGCTATTTTGAAATCAAATTAATTGAAGTGGTCAATGAATCAAATATTATAAGATCAAATTATGATATAATTAATTTTGCTTAAAAGTCTTTCTGTTTTAAAAGATTTGTTTTCCTTACCTTTTAACTGCTCTTTTGTCTGTTAAAAGCTCAGGTGAAACATATTCTGCTGTTCCAACAAATGAATTTCTCCCTGCAACAATTTAATTTTAATAACAGTTCTGTTTATCACTGCAGGGGATTCATTCAAAAGTTTCACCAGAACTTGCTGGTGCTACCTCAAGTGAACGAGCAATAATTGATTTATTTCAATGGAAGGGATACAGTAAATAAATCACTTTTTTCATTTTCTCTGAGGTTTTCACGAGCTCTTTACACCATGTCAAAGAAAATACAGCCAATCCAAACACAATAGAGGTGATGTGTTTCAGACAGTGTTAAATCTGGCCTTACCATCTTATTTCAGCTTAAATTAAGTTTAAGGTGTCACTATTAACAACTTAATAGTGACAATAATAACAAGAATTCTGTGTATCTCATGTCTAAATCTCATGAATTAATACACATTTTAAAAGAGTTAAAACTGTTACCAAGATCATAAATAACAGGAAGCCAGTTCACAGCCATACCAAATGAACTCTACACATATATTGCATTAATCATGTTTACCACTTTTATTTTTCTTCTATGGCACTTTATGCCATAGGATCTCACCCCTATTTTCTATGTAAACACTCTTCGAATATTAACAGTTACATGCAGGAGTAACCAGTCCCCACAGTTATATTAAAAAAATTTGTAAAATTATTTCCTGCTATAGAAGCAGGAACTTGATAAAAGGAAGATTGCCGAGAGGCAAGAGAAATGAATGAAAGTTTAAGTTTTCTAACCTTTTTCGTTAACTTCACCATCACTTAGAATCTTAGCTGTACCAAAGTCAGTGATCTTTATGTGCATGTCTGCGTCCATGAGAATATTTTCTGGTTTCAAGTCCCTAATAACAATCAAAGGAAACCAAACTGTAATCACATTTTTATTGGAAATAATCCACAAAAGTTGTAGAGATGAAAGAAGACTCCTGCATATATTTATTCTTTCAAGCAGAAAAAAGGTTTGTCATGTTTTGATCGCTTGATAATTTGAAACAACTGTATTTCATTTTCTCTATTAGCAGCTGTAAAGATAGTACCTGTGAATGATTCCTAATCCATGAAGATGTTCCAAAGCTGACACAACTTCAGCAGAATAAAATCTTGTACATGTCAGGTCAAACGAGCCCAGCTGCAGAAAAATGGTATGGTTCACATGAAGCATAACTCAAAAAGTGGTATTAATGAAACCACAGCACCCAAAATATAAAGTGTTCCAAGGGAAGAAAACCTCTTCAGAAGTAACATTTTAGGCACACATTAATGCTGATAAAGTCAGAGAGTATTATTAGAATCATGTTGATTACACCTCTCTAAATTGAAGAACTAATTAATTGTGCACAGAATATTTACCTGCCTTGTAAATTAAAGTTATTCCCAAGCAAATAAGCAGTAAATGTAAGTATTACTAAATAAATATGACTACCTTAATAATATAGGGTAACAATTCTCCTTTCTTTGCAAAGCTTAAACCAAAATCTGTGGAGGCCAAAGCTAAGGAAAATGA